CATTCAAGGGCTGGCGTCGTTTCACTTTGTTTGTCAGAGAACGATGATGATGATGAGGTTAAGCTTGGTTCTGATTATAGGAATGTTGAGTTCTTGATCACTACAGGGCCTGGCCCCTGCCCTCAGCTGGACAATAACAACATTGTTTTTGGGACAGTGCTTGAAGGTAAGGTTTCGGTATGTCTGTTATATGTCAGCAGTGCTTAAATTTAGATTTTATGTGTAGTTTTGTAGATGCTTTTGATTACGTTTGATTTAGTTAATGAAGTTTCTTTCGGGGGGATAAAGTAGTGAAATTCAGTTAATTAGTAGTAGGTGATATGCGCAGTTGTATGTTTTATTTCTTCAAAGGAGGTTAGTCTGATGGGTTTTGTAATGTTCAATTTGGGTACTTTATGAATAGAGTTTGTAGGAAAGAATGGCATTGCACAAATTCAAATTTCTTTATATCTCTAAAATATGTGATTAATTGCGATGGTAAGTGGTGATTGTAGCTGTTCCTAGTTGGTGGAGAGACTAGCTAGAGAACTGGTTACTGATGTTTTGTAGTTTCTTACAGTCTTCTTTCTTGAAATTTTCCATAAAAACCTGAAGGTAGTTCTTTTCTAATGATTCCTCAAAAGCAAACAACTTCCTTATAAACACTCTGTTTGTTAAAATTGGAATCACACTGTTGCTAGAAGTAGGACTTTGGAACGCAGTTGTTGGACAATATTAATTCTGGAACTTTATTATATATTTTTGAAATGGTCTTATGAGGAGGGTTGTTTCTTATAATTTTCTCCATTATATACATATAGTTCTTATTTTTGGAGTGTCTTTGGTCTTGTCTAATTCCCCCACCATTATAAGCTTTGTGAGAATCAAGGCATAATAAATCCATTGGATGGCATCTCTCAGTAATTGAATTGAACAAGTATATCTGAATCATGTTTTGGTAAATTTGCTCAAGTTTAGCATATGTTACTCTCTAGGGTTGAATGTAACAACATAGCAATACACCAGGGGCTTTGGGTTCATTGCAGTGATTTTTGTTACCTAATTTGGATTCATTAAGCTTAAGTGCCACATTGTTAGTAGAGCACATGTGTCTCTAATCGTGTTAAGGAAAAGGTTAACCTTATCTGACTTCAAATGCCCTTGCTCTTTACTTTTGTCCTCTTTGAAGGCTTGTTCTTAATTCGAAATCCATCTACACCAGCAAAATCGAGATCTTTCAAATGCTGTGACTTCTTCCAATGGAAATGCTTTCTGTTCCATTAATTAGATCTTGAAGGTTGCTGCTATAGTGAAAATGAATGAGTAACCTTAAGACATCTTTCCACTGTTAGAGGAGAATCACAAAATCTCTCCACAGTTATTGAACATAAACGAGTTTAGATCCTTGAACATTATGTCTTGTTGCTTTGATGCATATTGCATTCTAATGACTTGTGTCTGTTCTGGTTTGCCTTTCTGGTGGAACGCATACCATTTGTAGCATGTGGTTCTGCATGCATGCTGATGCAAATGCGCCACACTTGTGTAGATATTACCAATGCTCAAACTCTGATATTACTGTCAAAATGATAGGTATCTGTAGTGCGGGTATGAACCTCTAGAAGTGTTTGTCCTTTTGAAAACTGAAGAATTCTATAAGACATTTTGATATGCAGGAACTGGAAATTGTTGCTATCTATATATTCCCTTTCCCTCTTCATTGCCCTTGTGCGTTTTACACACATTGTCTAGATTT